GGGTTAGGGCTAGGATTAGGGTTGTGGTTAAGGTTAGGGTTAGGGTTAGGGTTAGGGCTAGGATTATGGTTGTGGTTAAGGTTAGGGTTAGGGTTCGCGCTAGGGTTATGGTTAGGGTTAGGATTGGGGTCGTGTTTAGGGTTAGGGTTGAGTGTTAGGGTTAGGGTTAGGGTTAGGGCTAGGATTATGGTTGTGGTTAAGGTTAGGGTTAGGGTTCGCGCTAGGGTTATGGTTAGGGTTAGGATTGGGGTTGTGGTTAGGGTTAGGGTTGAGTGTTAGGGTTAGGGTTAGGGTTGAGTGCTAGGGTTAGGGTTATATGGTTAGGGTTAGAGCTTGGATTAGCATAGGCTTTGGTTAGCGTTAGGCCAGGTATGTGTTGTCAGACTCTATAAGTTCCCTCCTCCTTGACCTATTACGGACATTAATCGGATTTTCGTGGGACGGCGAAGCGCCTGTTGTGGATCGCTGGGGCTTTGGCAAGAATGAGTGTGCTTAGCTTTCAGAAGCTGCTACCATTGATTAAACATTCTCTTAGTAAACATACTCTCCGCGGCTCAGCTTCCATTCCTTTGCACACGCCTCCCTCCCAGTCCTCCCCTCTCCAGTCCTCCCAGTCCTCCCCTCTCCAGTCCTCCCAGTCCTCCCCTCTCCAGTCCTCCCAGTTCTTCCCTCTCCAGTCCTCCCAGTCCTCCCCTCTCCAGTCCTCCCAGTCCTCCCCTCTCCAGTCCTCCCCTCCCTTCTGTCGATACAGCAAACATTATATATAATCAAGAGCGTATTAAGAATGCGCTCTTAATACGCATAAGAATGACTCTTATAATGCTATTATAACGAACTACTCTTCAGAATGCATTTTTAATACGCTCTTGATATAATTTATAGCGAGGATTTCAGCGTAGATTCCAGCCAGCAGTGGTTCGCTATTAAAGCATTGCTTTGCATCGTTTTTTCTTCCGCCAGGTTTGCAAGAAGAGCGAGGAGAGCAAGAAGAGGGTATATACAGCTCGTTAAATGATGTGCTTCTTATTGTTCGTTAGTTATAATTTGCAGTGACTAGCTTTAGGTAGAGGGCGCTGTTAGCGGTGGCGACCACGGGCCTTGTGTTGGTTCAAATCACGACGCGTGTGCGCGTGCGCACGAACGTCATTTCCGTTTAGATCCATTTATTTTCTTGTTTGTTTTTTCTGTGTTGTTGTGGGTTTCATATTTACAGGGGTTTATAATGACAAATAATTTGTTATTATTAACCCCTGATATTTAGTACTGCTGTAGTGCGATTGTGTGGGACACATATAGATATCGTTTATATAATTATTTTTCTCTTCTTTTCTATCTTGCCTGTACTACTGTAGCGACTATTCAGAAATTCGTTTGTGCGTTTTATTTATTTGTTAAATAACGAGGAACAAGCGTTGCTCGTTAATTAGTGACGTCATGTTTAGGTTTGCTGTTGGTCCGGGATCTAGACGCTGCTGTTGCTAGGCAGCCTCGGGATCGGTCCGTCTGTCGTCTGCGTCCTCTCATGAGTGCATTTCAGTGACCTCTGGTGATCTATAGTGACCTCTAGTGAGGTCACCACTCGAGTTTGGTGACCTTAGATGACCTTTAACTGACTTTGGCGTTTGTTTGACCTTGACATTAACGACATGTGACGTCACCGGCGTCTGGACACGAGCTGATCATAAAATTTACCGATTATAATATTATATTATTTTGTAAAAAAACAACAACAATTATTCGCGCATTTTTCGTCGGTATGTAGGTTAGGCAGATGACGGCGGCGTTTGCCAGCGGTGAGCTCCCCAAGTCACCGGAGACGCGGCGCAGTCATGTGACGAAGGGCAGCTACCTGATTGGACATCTCACGGGCAGCCCGGACCTAGGTGAGCAGCGCCATCTGTGTGTGCATGGATGACGTAGGTACATCAGTGACGTATGTGCATGGATGACGTAGGTACATCAGTGACGTATGTGCATGGATGACGTAGGTACATCAGTGACGTATGATGATGATGCTGTTGCAGAAAAGTCGAGTTCCAGTTCTCCGTCGTGCGGTGGCGCCACAGGCGGTTCTGTCGCGGTACCGCCGCGCTACACCGCCGTCATGTCAGAGTCTGAGTCGACGGCCACAGATGGCAGCACCACCGAGACGCCGGTCTTCCAGCGTCGGCGCAAGCTGCCGTCGCCGAGGACGTCTCCAAAGTATGTGGATACTCATCTATCTGGATGGATGGATGGATAGATAGATAGATAGATAGATAGATAGATAGATAGATAGATAGATAGATAGATAGATAATGGATGGATGGATGGATGGATGGATGGATGGATGGATGGATGGATGGATGGATGGATGGATGGATGGATGGATGGATGGATGGATGGATGGATGGATGGATGGACCATCCATGCATCCATGCATCCATCTATCCTTGCAGTGATCCATCCATCCTTGCAGCCATCCATCCATCCATCAATCCATCCATCCATCCATCCATCCATCCATCCATCCATCCATCCATCCATCCATCCGTCCATCCATCCATCCTTGCAGCAATCCATCCATCCTTGCAGCCATCCATCCATCCATCAATCCATCCATCCATCCATCCATCCATCCATCCATCCATCCATCCATCCATCCATCCATCCATCCATACATCCATCCATCCATCCATCCATCCATCCATCCATCCATCCATCCATCCATCCATCCATCCAT